TTTTTTTTTTTTTTTTTATTTTTTTTTAATATATATGTATACATGGATATATATATTAGGTCTGTTATTCTGTTATTCTGTTATTCTGTTATTCTGTTATTCTGTTATTCTGTTATTCTGTTATTCTGTTATTCTGTTATTCTGTTATTCTGTTATTCTGTTATTCTGTTATTCTGTTATTCTGTTATTCTGTTATTCTGTTATTCTGTTATTCTGTTATTCTGTTATTCTGTTATTCTGATGTTCTGATGTTCTGATCGATGATGAGGATGGGATGGGATGGGATGGATGGAAAGATGGATAGATAGAATGATGGATAGATAGATGTACGCAAAGTCTTTGGTCTTAGCCTCTTGCAATGACCATCTATCTAACGGCTGAGTTTTAAGGTTTGGGCTGACAAAGAAAAGAAAAAAAAAAAAGTAAGGCAGGGTCACTTGATTGGTAGGTAGGTAGGTAGCTGGGAAATTTTTGTTCATTTCTTCATCGTGTGCTTTGCTGCTTGCTGCACGACCCATCCATCCCATCCATCCATCCATCCTATCCATGATACATGATACCAACCAACTAAGTCAGCAGGCACCCACCCACTCAACTCACAGATCCCGCACAAAAGTCCTGATCTGATCCCGCAACACGCTCACAGCCCGGCGATCATGCCAGAAGTGGCCGGCACCAGGGACCTCCACGTACCGGAAGCGAGCCCCCCCTCCTCTCTCGCAGCTCAGCTCGCTTAACTTCTCAGCCCAGGGCCGGAGCCTTTTGGCACTGACGAAGGCGTCGTCGTCGCCAAAGAGAGCCAGGGTCGGATCGACGGCGAACTTTATCTCGTTGTCGGGGAGCGGGCCTCGCTCCCGCCAGGGGTTGGATGTCCACAAGGTTGCGAGGCTGTTGATTACACCCAGGAGGGGGGATACGAGAAGGTATCCGATCTGAAGATTATCTACGATACCGGGTATCGGCCGCAGTGCCGTGACTTCCTCCTTAATGACTTCCTCCTTGACCTCCTTTCCATCCGTCAGACTCGCTGCGACTGAGTGTCGCGATGCGAGTCTGCTGTTTGATGAGATGGAGTCACGAGGATTGTGTCTTGGTGACATCCGTCTGTGCTTCCCAATCAACCGAGCTCTGTCAACGCTTTTCCGTACCAGCTCGGGTGCCTCTATAGAGAACGAGCCTCTGGTGGCTCGGGACGAATCGTGGCTTGCTCGACGAAGATCTTCCCCTCCTCCAATACGGACCCCGTTCGGTTTCCGAACCGTCGTATTGTCCGGGACATCGTCATTTTGCAAACTCCGGCTACGGCGGTGGCTGTATTTCCGTAGCAGAGCCGCGGCCTGTCGATTGATCTGTTGATTCTGTCGCGCAGCTAAGCTTTCTGCTCGCAAGCGTATTTCGGCATGCGCAGAGCCTGGATCTGGAGCTTGGAAGGGCGATATTAGGGAACTGATGATGGGCGGCAGTAAGCTGGTTATCAATGCGCCGTATGAGTAACCTGCAAGTAGGAGACGTGGCTGCGTGTTGGGCGCGGGGAGACCTTCCTTGCCAAAGGTCAAAGTAAATTCTGGAGACAAGCTTGCTGTCGAGAACTGCAAGTTCCCAGAATGAGACGGCGAAGTTGATCCCGACGGAACAGAGCTCAATTCAGATACTTCGGGATCGGAGCGGGTAAAGCTTGGCATGTCGAAAGGCATCCTTTGAGGCGACAGTATCTTACAATAGTAGACCATGAAAGCCAAGAACGAGATGTAGTCCTTCTGTTCAGCCTTGGCCTGCCACGACGTCCGTCCTTGCGAGATACCAGCTCCTCTGCCCAGATTCTCAGCATTTGGGGCCTGTCAGAGGGTAAGGGGTCCATCCATACCTAAAATTAAACGTGCCCACCACAAAGTTCTGTTTCAACAGAAGGTCTGCTATTATGCCAACAACAGGGTCATCGTAACTTCCACCCAGCGGCGCGTAGGGGTGCGCCACAATCGCAGCCTTCTTGTTCCATGCTGTACAATGTGATATGGAGGTGGGAGCTAAGGACGCCGGGTGGTAGACGCGACAATCGAGTGCTACATCCTCTTGGATTGAAGGGATTGTAAAGCTCAAGGTCGGAGGCGGAAGCATGGCGGGCAGCTCGGAGCCCTGGTCCTGGGACGTCTCATCCGATGTTAGAAAACCAGTTCGTAGCAGGCATCGTGTGTTCGTTTCGTGGCGCAAGTGTCAGGTAGGAATGGAAGGTAGCGGCTGGCTATTATCTCTGCAATACCCGGGTTATCGTTATGGAGTAGGAGAAAGAGGCTCTGGATCAGTATCTGTTCTTGAACCTGAATTCTCGACGAATATGCGCGGGCGTCGATTTCTCGAAGTCAGGTTCAGGTCAGGCTGTGCAAGGTCGAGAGCTGTTGTGCTGTCCTCCTCGTCGTTGTCGTCGTCGTTCAGCCCTGGTCTTGGCAACGACATCTCGGCAAGCCTGTTTGGTGGAGCCGCAGGACTCCGTAACGACACACGATTTCTACAACTTCCCCTTCCCACTTCAACACCAGTTTTCGTTATGTTCTGTTCTGTCCGATCCCCTCTGCGTGTCTTCGATTTTCATAATGTTGAGACTGGCCGGCTAAGCATGAGCTCTCATCATGGCCCCGTGGCTGTTTTCCAACGCTACCTACCGCTGCTGCTCCGCTCAAGCCTGGTGATCTCAAGCCTCCAGAGACTGTTCTGTATTTCGAAGGCCCTACATCATATTCAGTCAATTTAAGTAACTCTAAGACCGAGACCACCATGCTTTGCTGTCTCGCTCAAAGTCGATTCTGGTATTCATTTAGGTGAGATCTATTCGCTAGGTATATCTATCCGCAAGAGGCAGCATTGCTGCAATTCTCCTCGAGTTTGAAAGAGCAGGCAGGCAGGCAGGCATTATGAGTGATCAGCATATAGAAAGCATGAACTCCAGTGAGCAACTATTGTTAGACGCTGTGATTGCTATATTTCTTAACTATGAAAGCCTTAATATAGCGATCCTCCTAGTAGTCCTTCTTTCATATGACGGAAAGGGAAGCCTCCGTCACGCTTCAAGGCTCTTTGACTATTCAGATTTCTCAATTGCTCGTTATTCTAGACTTTGCCTGTCCATTATTTCATAAGCTTTTCCGCACTTGGTAATATCCTTTAGTCAACAGAAAGCTCTGAAGGGGCTCCTAGACGATGCCGGCTTGCACCAATTCCAAAGTAAGGGCCATCAGTAAAGCGAGGACAGCTTCCTGAACCAAAAGCACATATACCCGCTCGACTCTGGAAAATGGCATATCAGCCAGCATATCGTTCCCTTGGCCCCGACTCCGCGCTGCTGCGACTGAAATATACACCCGCTTACAGCTTCCCTATCAAACCCTCGCCCATCCACCCTCATGACCACCTCACCTCCAAATCCGACCATCAACTCCGGTACGCCTACACCAACTTCTCCTCAGACCGACTCGAGTTACTTCCCGACGACGGGCTCGCAGCATGCACATACACCCCATCAACCACCTCTCCTGAAGCCACCACCCTCGATCCGACAACCTCTGCCCCAGTCTTCTTCGCCATACCCGTGACAGCAACAGTCCCATACCCAAACGGCTCCAGCCCGCCACCACCACCCGTCGTCACACCTAGATCACCTGCTGGTGCACCCGCATCTGCTGAATTCCCGACGTAGGTGCGTCGTCTCCTCTCCTTGATAGGGTACCGGCAGTACATGACCAGCCCGCCGGCGATGGCGAGGATGAAGATGAGCGGGACGTAGAGGTAGGCAAAGATCTGTTGGGGTTGGTTAGTACAACGGTCTCACCCCCGCGCACGTTTCGCGCAATGCCATGCATAGGATTGGGGAGCGCACCTCCGTTTCTGTGGGGTCGTTGAAGCTAGAAAATTCTGTTGGCAAAGAGGTAGAAGGAGAGCTATCCGTGCTGCTCTTGATGATGTACATATCGAGCTGCGGCGTCCTGCTTCGGCTGGGAGGAAGGGAGGGAGGGAGGGAGTTCTTGAGAGGTTTGCGGATGATGCCTGCAAGAGAAGAAGAACTGGGATGGAGAATATGAATGAATGAATGAATTGGTTGTTTGGTTGACGAATTGATCGATTGAATTCTTGCCGGACCTTAGGCTCGACTCCCTAGGTACCGAGTACCCTAAAGCCCAAGTCCCCGAGACCTACTTACGGAATTAGCCCTTCATCATGCCTTCTACGTCACGTTCTGTCCACGGGAAGCAAGCCCTACCCGCATCCTCTACCCTTTATTCTCCGTCCTCTCTCCTGCCATGTTCAACATCAGCTTCAGTCGGATCCAGCCCCTCTCTTCTAAATGGCATGGGCCTCGCTGGGGGGTTGCATTATCCATCGTCGAGGTCGGCATCACTACCTATTCCTGATGACTCCGAGAAGTTTATTCCATCACCTTACTTTGAAAGGCAAAGGAAAAGAAGAGAGAGAGAGAGAGAGAGAGTTGGGTGTTCCGTGTATCTTATTGTAATCCGGACTGCCACCAGCCTAGCCCATGCCACCACTATTTGCAGAAGCATCCAGTAGTCCCATAGCAATCCGTCCCTTCCCTCTCAAGTTCCTGCCCACCCTGAACAGTCATCTTAAACCAAACCCCATTCCAATAGCCCGTACCACCATCGAATCCTCCAAGACGCCCACAACCACCCGCAAAGTGCCATCACTCACTCCCGGACTGCCATAACGGGCACATCATTCCCATGAGCCCCCTTCTTGTAAGCCTGCCCGTACCTCTCCTTTCGCTTCCGGTCCCGAAGGAACTTGGCCAAGAGCGAGAGAAGGATACAAGAGGTGAGAGCAAGCGTGATGGCAGTGAGGATGGTGAGCAATTTTTGGGCGGCGTGCCAATTGCGTCCAGACTACGTCCGGGGTGATGTTAGATTCTGAGAGCACTTTCCGGTATGAAGGCGGATAGGAATTGCTGGGGGTGTCACTTACGGTTTCGTCGTATAACACCACTGCGGGAGTTGTAGCTGTAGCCGTTGGGGCTAGAGCTTCATCGAAAATGCTGGTGGTTGATGATGACATGTTCGCGGTACCGGGTGTTGTACGTACGGAAGTTTGTATGGATTAAGAGACGGGAGGAAGAGGATGGATGTTTGCTGAATCTCTTTGATGGATAGAAGAATGAATGTTCTCTGACGATGCTCTCTGATGATGATGATGGTGATTATGATGATGTTTTGTTGTTGTGTACAAAGAAGAAGAAAAGAAAAAGAAGAAAAGAAGATCCTCCATCGCCCTTTTAAACCCCTTCCCCCCCCTTCCCCCCGCCCGACCTCATCCAGCGGGAAAGAGCGATTTTCACACCAACTTTTACAACTGACGTCGCCATTTACATAAGCATGAATTCCCTCCCCGACTCTCGCCCAGCGCCTCCTTCCTCAAGAGCGCAAAGGCGGCGTAGCCAGGTGTGGTTAGGGAAGGTGTGTTATGCTTGGAGGACTATTTGGAGCTTGGAGCCAGGATGGATGCAGGAGACGGCGATGATTAGGAAAGAGCATCTGCGTGGTGTGATATTTGTCAGCACAGCAGGGGTGAAATTTGCCTTTGTGCGGAGAGTGGATTATGGGTTATGGGTTATGGATGCGTGCGTTCGTACGGTGAGGTAGGTAGCCGAGCTAGGAGGTAGTTCTGTTCGAAGTCCATGAGGCTGGGTCGAAAGGGGAACGATGGGGTTGAGTGGGCCATTTGGACCCTCATAAGGGTAATGAGGAACACTTAGAGCAAGAAAGAATACAGGAAGTGAAAAGGAAGAACGAACATCCAATTGAATTTTTGTGATGGGCGATGGTGTGGTTATGGACTGGGCCGGGGAAAGCACAGCATCTTGTTGTGTTCAGCGAGCCCCTGATTCCGGTATTTGAGCACGGAAGTGGACTGCACCACCAATGAGAGTTGTGTGGAACACTAACGATGAACAATAGAAATTTGAACGGGGTTAATGATAGCCAACTGAGCACTTGCGTCGAAGGAGAATGAAAAAGCTCACGTGATTGAACATCTCAGCCGCCGAATCCGTACCACTTCATTCAGCCAGCATCAGCAAATAAACATTAGGTGGATTCACCGCAGCGATTTGGCATTTTTGCTATAGGGCAGCCGTCTGAGCATTTTGTACGGATTTTTTACACTTCCACCTGATGTCCGACATTCTCGCCATCATTGCATGGACTAGGTTTCTTCGACGAAAGCCGACGAGAGGCATGGGCACTGGGCGCTCGCAAGGTATGCAAGCCAGAACATTCTATCAACGGATGAAACAGCTTTTTACGACTTGGCCAATCCGAGGTCCTCTGGCTCGGCCTTGATCACACGGAGACTGAAACATGTTAGCAGAGTGCTATAAAATATCATGAAAACTCACGTGTTTGTGTTTCCCATGCCACCCTTCCAGCCTTGAACAACGACAACAGTTTCACCTTGGGTAAGAACGTTGAGCTTCATAGCCTCAGCGATACCCCACTTGATTCTGCGGTCGACATCCTCTTGCCAGTTGACCTTCGTGAAATCTGGCTTCTCCTCGGGGAAGTAGAAAGGATAGACTCCACGGTACAAGTGACCATATCGAGAAGCGCTGGCGTTCCGGGTGACCATAAAGATCGGGCAGACTGGGCGATACTTGGAAAGGAGGCGAGCACTGTCTCCACTGGTAGAGAGAACAATGATAGCTCCAGCGTTCATATCCAAACTGGCACGGACGGCAGCCATGGCGCAAGACTCGACGATGCTGACTGGGCGTTGGACGAGGTTACAGAGCTCCTCAAAGTGAGAAACGTAGGCAATGGTGTTCTCGGCTTTCAGGCAAGTCTCGTGCATCTCGGTAACAGACTCGTTGGGGTAGCTACCCTTGGCAGTCTCACCCGACAACATGACACAGTCGGCTCCATCAGTAACGGCGTTACCAACATCGCTGATCTCGGCACGGGTTGGGCGGGGATTGTAGATCATGGACTCGAGCATCTGGGTGGCGCAGATGACTGGCTTGCCAGCCATGTTGCACATAGCAATCATTTTCTTCTGAGCCGCAAACACTTCAGCAGCCGGAATCTCAATACCCAGATCACCACGGGCAACCATGACACCATCAGTCTCCTTGAGAATCTCAGGGAAGTTGTTGAGACCTTGTCTGTTCTCGATCTTGGCAATGATCTGGATGTGCTTTCCCTCTTCACCTAGGACCTTGCGAATGGACTTGATATCATCACCACGACGGATGAAAGAGGCGAAGACCATGTCGACGTTGTTCTTGACTCCGAATCTGAGATCGGCTTGGTCCTTCTCAGACAAGGCTGGGAGATCGACATCTGTGTTGGGGAGGTTGACACCCTTCTTGGAGGAGATCTTGCCGTTGTTACGGGCGCGAGCACGGATGGTCTTCTCGTCAACAATCTCGACGACATCAAACGCAAGAACACCGTCATCAACGTAGATGATACGTCCTGGCTCAATGACCTTGGTGATGTTCTTGTAGTCGACGTACCTAGAATCGCAGTTTAGGCCTGGGCACCCTGGTATTATATGAGGGATTGACTAACATGTTCTTGTCGTCGCAAGCGGTAGCGTATTTCTCATCGGTTGTGATGTTGATCTCCGTTCCAGCTGCGATGGGGATATCGGCATCACCGACGGTGTTACCAGTTCGGATCTCCGGGCCTTTGGTATCGAGAGCAATAGCAACCTGACGACCGGCCTGCACCTTCTGGGCCTCGCGCACGTTGTCAATGACGGATTGATGGCTGTAGAGGGTCAGTGGATCGGAGTTGAAGGTCATCGGAGTGCGGATCAAAACAGAGCGGGGAGGTTCCGAAGGTCCAACTCCACCAAAACCACGAAAATGGAAAGAGAAGACTCACTATTCATAAGAGCCGTGAGAGAAATTCATTCTCGCGACATTGAGACCGGCTGTTCGAAGCTTGTTGAGTGCTGCAACATTGTTTGTCTTGGGGCCGATAGTGCAAATGACTGGGCAGAAGATATGTCAGTATTTTATGGCTTGAAATGTTTGTGGTCGGGCTGAAAGTGGGCACAAAGCCCAGGTTCCAAGAGAAACCATAGACTAGACGTAAAGAGACTCATATTCAAAGAAACAATTCTGACTGTTCAGAACACTGGTGGTTGCTCTGGCTGAGATGGACTTTTATAGGCCTGATTCGACTTGACACCAATGGCAACTTCAGTCAGGCAGGAAGCTCCAATGTAGCCACGGCACAATTTTCGAAGGAGATAGCTGCGCCGATGTAGACTCCGAGGCAGGAGCTCCAAAAAGTTGTTGCCTTGGTGGAGCATGATCTGTCCCAGCCCAGCTTGAACGCCTCAAGATCGGAGCACAGAGCTCCAAGGCAACCAGATGCAAAGTAAACAGGTACAACAGTGGCATTAGTTGTACCAGTTGTATCGCAAGATATAGTCAAAAGGCCCATGTCCCAAGCGTTTTGGCCAGGAGCGGATGGAAGCGCTCCAAAAAATGAATGAAATAACCTACTGCTTGTACGGCGGTAGTTCTTGGTTGGCTTGAATTCAGTGTCCAGATCGGAAAGCCATTGGACGCGTGATCCAGCGGAAAGGTGCTGCATTGCAGTAGCCATGATGTATTATGTATTTCGAAAGATGATATGGGTTTGTCGGCGAAAGCGAAGCGAGGGCGGCAGTGAGGTAGTAGGAATGAATCTTTATTCCTTTTCGCTTTCAAGGTGAGCGTCGGGGATGTTTCTGTTCTGTATATTCATAGGCACCTGGTCAGTCGGCGTCCTCAACCTTTTCTTATCTTGGTGGGGTGATGGAGCGCTTTAGATAGTGAGGAATCCCACTAACAATTCAACAACGACTGGCACGAAATGTACCGTCTTGGGGGAGAATTTGCAGACGGGAGCTGGATAGGCAGACGCGGAAGAGGAACGGGGTAGGATGAAGAATCTACGACTTACAAAGAGGAGAATTGTTTCTCTGTGGTTGTCGAGGTTGTCGAGGTGTTCCCGGGGCAGAGAGAAAAGAGAAGCAGATGAGGTTGGTGTTGTATTAGTAGGAAGTCGAATCCCTCCGATAGAAGCTATCTACCTATCCCACCAGCACTAGAGCATTTCCCTAGACGCTTTTTCGCCAAGCCCCCTCACCCCGAGTGGGGCACGGCCACTCCATCAGGGCTGTTTGATAGGCGATCGGCGGGATGCTAGGAACGCCGCGGGGCTCACGTGCCCTGTGCACCGCTCTGCACGTCCATCTGTGAATCCTCACTCAGCCGCAATCCCATTCCCGATCCCAAAGCATACGCTCCCTCAGCTTGGCTGTATTGCCCAAAGACCCACCCCTGCGACATCAAACGGAGGACGACTGCAACGACCCAGATCACCGACCAGATCACCGACCAGATCACCGACCAGACCAGGCCAGACCAGACCAGGCCAGAACAGAGAGAAAAGGGCTGACTCTCGACGCCCAGAATAAACAGCTGTGTGTGCACTCACTAAGAGGCCCCTTCAAGTTACACAACCAAAAATTGCAAGCATGGTTGTCAGTCTCCCCTTCGTGTTGCGAGTCTGCAGGACTAGAACCTAATCGAATCAGTTCCTCAACCTGCTAACATTTGGTTTATGGGGAAAGCTCGGAAGATTAACTCACTATGCATTTGATGCGGTTCTCAGTATGTTGTGTGCCTGCCTTCCAGGCTACAAGCGTCATCTGCTAAAAGTATTGCAGTCTCTACAATCCTCGCTGGCATGAAAAGATCCACAGGCCTAACGTATGTTAACCTGCGACTCCCTCAATCCATTTCTTTCCGGTGGTGCTTCTCAGACGGGTTGGATGGCCGAGTAGGGAAAAAACGTACCGGCCTACCTGTATGCCCTCTCCAAGGGGCCAGCATTGCTAACTAGACCCATGCCGGGGACCTTAGGCCCAGTTTCAAGAAGGACTCGATAACCGAAAACAAAGATATTAATGGCTGGATTGAGAAGTACCTGGGGGTTGGTGAGTGGGTGATGGATACCTCGGTGGCCTTTGCTGGATCCAGTGGCTGGTTTGAGAGAAAGCGGTAGATGGTCCTTCGAAAGGGCCTGGCCGAGATGAAGGAACGATAATACGATTATGACGAAGTTGGGTTAGCAATATCTGAACCAAACTTGGTATCGAAAGTGGCACACATCGTAGCTGGAGTAGTGGAGTTTGGTGGTAGTCTTGAAGGTGTACTGGTTGGGTAGTCTAGACACCTATACTAGGTCTATCGGGTGAGACTGCGGTCCTCTTCTTCATCTGGGAAAGTTTCCACTGCAATAAAGAGCAAGAGGATACAACCAGAAAATTGTGCGGGTTTATGGAGTGCAAAATGTGCGTTTGCCCAATCCAACCAACTCCTGCCCCTCGCTCCTATGGACCGAGATGCCGATCCGGAGATGCGAACCGGCATCACCCGTGGAACATGGAAAATTGAATTCTTCGAGTACAAAATACCTAGCCAGTACCTTGATCAAGCGTGCAGCGGGTGTCCCAAATCGTTGGTGAAAACTATTCCCTAATTAGGCATTAATTGTAACGGCTTTATGGGTGACTAACCGGGCAGTCTTGATTCGCCTCAGCACGGATTCGACATCGTACACATTACAGTAAGGTGGGTAGGTGATTCTACTTCTACAACTCCCAGCAACAACAAGTTCGGCAGAACCTCACACTCCTGCCCGTTGCTTGTCCAGAACCACGGATCAAGATGCCGCCAGTGCTCAACGGCCCGCTCTCCTTACCCTCGCTCCTCCTGCTTCCTCCTCCTCCATCACCAGCCACTGCCGCCTTACTCTCTGCGGCATATCGACCGTCTATCTCCGCAACAGTTTCTTCCTTGAGAGAGCTACCGACAGCCAGCCAGCTTCTCGTCGTCTTGCCGTGCCCGAGTCTTCATGGCCAACTGAATCGTCCCAGATGCCAGATCTATGAAGAAGTCCAGAAACTTCTCGGCGGCGTCTACAGCCTGATCTGTATCGTCTGTGCCAAACTAGGTATCGATGTAGAGGCAGGAACCCCTGGCTCTATAGACGCCCGCATCGTCTTGTTAGACTACAGCAGTTCCTCAACGCCATCCAGAGAGCATGTTACACCCTCGACTGCCTTGATGGCCGGACCCATCACCGACCTTCCAACACTCGCTACTACACGACGTCAATGGAACAGAGTGTTCTCAGTCGAGGGCGAAGAAGGCCAAGAGGTTCTGGCAAACTACTTGAACTTTGCAAAGAGAATCAATCCCCCTTTTCTCGGCCACGTGGAGCTCATCAGCGGCGGTATCAGCATGATTCAGAAGCACGAGACGTATGCGCAAGTTGAAGCCGAGTCTTCTGCATCTCACAAGGTTGTTGCTGTCGGCGGCACATTTGATCACCTCCACGCAGGTCACAAGTTGCTCCTCACAGCTACGGCCCTCCTCCTTCAGCCAGACGTCACTGCGACCCCAGTCAACAAACGGTTGATTGTTGGAATCACGGGAGACCAACTGCTGAAGAACAAGAAATATGCAGAGTATCTGGGAAGCTGGCACACACGCCAGGAGGAGGTCGTCGACTTTCTGCTCTCGGTCCTCTCTTTCACTCGCTCTAGCCGAGAAGAGGCGACCCAGGTGACGACGTTCAACGATCCATTTCCGAACGGCCGTGCAATTCATACGCACATCAGGGCATGCTCCACAACCATCGAGTGTGTTGAAATACAAGATCCGTTCGGCCCAACCATTACAGATGAGAGTGTGACGGCCCTCGTTGTTTCTGGAGAGACACGGTCGGGGGGGCAAGCAGTTAACGAGAAGAGGTTGGAGAAAGGTTGGAAAGCCCTGGAGGTCTTCGAGGTTGATGTTCTGGATGCAGAGGGTACTGAGGGAGCTTCAGGCAAGACCGAAGACTTTGCTTCGAAGATTAGCAGCACAGCGATACGAAAACGCAGGGCTGAGATTGCGCGCACTTCATCGCTTTAGAATTGTCCTTCTGGGCTCCCAAGTTTCTATGTCAGGAACAGTTCTCTCTTGCAAGGCTGGAGTCCATCTCCAGCCGGAAGCCCAGCATTCTGTCCCGAACCAAGCCGTGCCGAAGAGCGATCTGCAGTGTCTTGCACCTTAATACTTTTGGTATCTTGAATGTTGCGCCAGTCATCGCAATCTCAACAATCAAGCCAAGTCTAAATTCGATGACACAATCAACCCGAGACGTATGGTGTGGAAGGCCACAACTCGGGCCTCTTGGGTATGCAGCATTCCGCGGAAGATCAGCAGACTTATGTTGCAGGCCTAGGCAGTGGCCAATCCATGTAATATCGTCCGGGGTGAAAAACAATTGAGACGAGTTTTAAAGAATCTTAAATGCACATCATCGCATTTCAAGTTGTGGCCCGCTCCCGACTGACCGGTCGGGAAACTACCGAAGTTCCCGAGCCTTCAAGTAATATACTTGTAGGCGCCGATGTTGCCACGTCCGAAATTTCCAGACACGCTGCCATCGTCAACGCCCCCAGGTCCAGCAAGCCTCGCCTCCCGACGAGCAGATGCGATTCGTCGTCGCGGGCGGAAGAGGTCTGTAACCGTCTATTCTTGTCACTGCAGCTATTGCAATGCTCATCCTTGCAAGCACTCTCACTGCATCGAATCAAAACGCTCCATCTCACATGACCTTAACTCGATGCGAGTGACAGCTGGGGTATCTGCAAGAGGCCTCATCCGGTAGAGCTTGATAGGTCGAGTTGATGGTGGAAATCCCTTGTCTCGTCTCCGTGCATGCCCGGGAAATATCGACTGCTCCTTCTCTCTCGTTGCATATCCTCTGCGAATGCCCCCCATGCAGAAACACGTCAGAACTGCCTATTGATGTGTGTTGTCGCTGTTCAAGAGTTTCAAATGATGCACCGTCCTCTGCTGGAGTCTTCACTAGCGAAAGTTATTTATATTCGTTATATGGATCTTGTTTTATCCTCGCGACAATCGGTTTGCGTCTCCACCTGCTTTAATTTACAGCCCGAACGAATACCTCACGGTGTCTTTTGCGTTGATTGTATCCTTTACAATGTCACAGAGCATCTCCAGATCGCTGCCGCGTCTCACCATGGACAAACTGCCAACCGAAATTCTTACCATGATCGCGGCAATATCCAGCCAAAACAAGATAGAATTGCTGGATTTGTGGAAGGAGAGAATGAGTTTGAGCGTTGAGAGTTTTGCCTCTGCTCCTCCAGTGCAAGACTACTCCCACATAGGCCAATTCGTGAGTAGTTTAAACCTACAACTCAAACCATGTATGTGGATGGAGCTGATTTATATTTACAGAGACTTGTGTGTAGGAGCTTTTCCAAGGCTGGTGTGAGCCACCAATTCATGCGTATTCAAATTCGATTCTCCCCCGAGGGATTTCGTACGTCTGCTAGACACCGCATCCTCTCAAATTTGATGTTAACGAGAACCTCCGGCAGGAAAGCTCGAACAGTTCATGGCTTTTGGCGACATAACCTACTATAAAGCAGTTAAGCAGTTCTCATACATGATACCTCCCCTCTACAGCAAAGGTAAGAATCATCTGCTCCCTTCCTAAGCATATCACCAGCTAGCTGACTCCTGCGCTCACGCAGAAAGAGCCCAATTTGAGGCTATCCTTCGCGATTTTGATTCACAATTGAACGCTACCATGGATAGCAACGAGGGACAAGCACCGCTTACCCTGCATCAGCAGCGAATCGCCGCTCACTATCGAGGGCAAGTTGCAAAGGCCATGGCTAAAGCCGACGCGCAAAGACACATGATCAGAGAGGGATCTGATAAGACTGCGCTGCTCTCCGCATTCACGGCGTTCACCAGCTTGAGGCAGATTCGATTAATGAGGGTTACGGATGAAGATGACCGTGGCTGGGCCATTTTTCTAAGGAATAATCCAACTTACGCTGATGAAGGCACCGCATCAGAGTGGAGCTCGGCATCTGAGCATGCTATATCAACTATATTCGCAGCCGCGAAACAGACGGTAAGCAAGTTCCAAAGTGATATTGGTAGATATTCTCCTAACTAGAAGGACGTTCGTAATTGCCAGGGATCTCATAGTTGAGGAATCTTGAATACTCCTTCGTCTATACTTACAGGGCAATGCTAAACCCGATGTCTGTACGCAGGGATCTCCTTTTAATCGCCTTTCGAGTCGTTTCATAGACCCTTCCATGCCACTGGTCCTTACATCCACATTGAACTCCCAAATCACTTCAGTCGCTCGGAAGTTGATCTCGATCGAGCTACAGCTCATCGAGCATGCAGACCCAGACGAAAAGATCACGGCACTTTCTCCAATTTTCGAGGTGGCTTTTCGCGCAGCTATTGGTCTAGACAGCTTCCACATCGGGTCCAATTATCAAATCTCGGTTCCTCTCTCATTAGTGTTCCACGGGATCCATTTCAAAAACCTGAAGCATATCGGACTGCATTTATGGCAACTGGATCACGAGGAGTTGTTAGAAATGCTGGCCCAGCATCAAGGAACCCTTCGCTCGTTACGTCTTAGAAGGATCAATCTCCGACAAGCATCGCCTGGAGATTTGAACTGGAAGAAAGTCTTGCACTACGTACGATCGCATCTCACATTGAATTGGATCAGCTTAAGAATGATTCGCTACGAAGGCGAGGATCAGATTGGTGGTATGCTCCCGCTGGCTCCTCTTCAGGGACTCCGTAACTTCGACTCTGACAGCGACCTCGAGGATCCTAACGACTGGAGCGATTCTAATTCTGGTCTTGAGAAGGAGGACGATGATCACGAAGATGATCACGCGGACTCCGATATGGCACCAAGCCCCGACTCGATACACGACTCTGCCGATGACGAGGCTTCCACTGAAGCTCACGAAAGCTCCGAAGCTTCAGAGGATGAAGTCGAGGACGACGAGGGCCACCACAGCGATCTCGACGATGAACACCATGGGGACTTTCAGGCGGGCAATGCGATCTTACCATGCCATTGCAATGATTGGCCGGAATCGTATTCCTGGGGCGACCTGGACGACAATGGAGTTTCCATATCTCCGAAACAGTGGAAAAAGTGGGAGAAGTGGAGCATTTACAGATGTCGTCTTCACGATCCACCGCAGTGAGAAGCTGGAAATATGCCACCCGGGATTGATAGATATCTCGGGCGTGTGGCCGGTCCTATTGCCCGACATGCGATATGGACGATAGAGAGGTTGGAGCTCGACTGTGAGGGATCGCAAGAACCCAATTCTCACCACTTCGAGTACCATGGAAGCTTAAAGTTTAAAAATAGCCATCGATATGGCCCACTCCCTTCCACTCGCACAAACTCCTTTTCTTCCTGCTACCTTCACTATTCTACAGGAGGATCTGCCCGCCATCAACCACTACATCGGTACCTTGGATTTTTCTCGCGTCAGTACGAAGCTAAGAGCGAGCCAAATGGCTACTTACCATTCATATACGTTCCCGCACTACTGGAAAGAAGTACAACTGCCCCTGTGAGCCTGCAGAAGTGGCCCATTAGCTCGTCCAAGCAAGATGAATGGACAACACCTACTCGCTCGGCACTCCCATCCTCCCCATAGGGTTCCTCTCCGCCCAAATCGCCCTCCCCTCCGCAATACCATCCCCCTCATTCAGAATCGTATCCATATAACCCGGCGAGATCGAGTTCACCCTAATGCCGTACCGCGCCCACTCCGCCGCCAGACAGTTCTTCAGCGAGATCAGAGCCGCCTTACTCACGTTATAGGCGACCTGCGGCTGTGGGAAGTTAACCCGATGTCCGGAGATCGAGGCGACGAACACAATGCTGCCGCCCGTCTCTTGCGGAATCATCTGCTTCGCGGCCGCTTGCGCGCACAGGAAGCCCCCCGTGGTGTTTATGTCTAGGGTGCGTCGCCACTGGGCGGCTGTCATGTCGAGGGCCGGGGTGCAGCCTACGACGCCGGCGAAGCAGAGCAGGATGTCGACGGACCCGAGGATTTCGGCGGTCTGCTGGACGGCCCTGGCGACTGCCTCGCCGTCGGTGATATCTACCTCCAACGCCTTGATCTTGGTGGCTGGGAATTCGGCTTGCAAGAGATCGACCTTTGCTTGGGCTTGGGCAGGGTTTACGTCGAAGATCATAAGGCCGGCTAGGCCGTGTTCGAGGAGGGCTTGCCCGGCTTCGAAGCCGAGCGTTCCTGCTCCGCCTGTTATTCTGCCAGTTTTTTCTTCGCGTTAGCTTTCTTTCTTTCGTTCTTTCTCTCTCTGTCACTTGGATTAGGGGATTGAGGGGTGGTAGGCTGGCTTGATTTGGATTTGGGTTTGGGTTGGCTTGGTCTGTTTACATAGCGTTTCCCTTTACCGAGAAGCGGGACTGGGCTCTCTCCCTGCTGGTTATCCCTTGAGATGGGGACAACGGGGGACCTGTTACGCCCAAGCCTTTGCCAAAGGTCATTTGCGGGAGGATACGGGAGGTTAGAGCGTCTCGGGGTGTTTCTGTTTCTGCTGCTGCTGCTGATGGGGGTGGATGTGCCATTTTTACAAAATAGATCTTGGAAAAATCAAATGACGTCTGATGCGTTTCTGGAGCCTTTTGACGTGGAGAGCTCGAAGCTCTTTTTGACCAGGGGGTGGGGGGCTTAGATACTACGTATGTCAAGGTCGCCTGGAAAGCGGGAAGTGGGAGGCGAGAATTTAGTATGATGTATTTACCGGTATCTATCCACTCACTCACTCACTGTCTTTCCCTCCACTACTATCCATCATCTCTAAAGATATTATTATTTATCCATACGATCCATCGATCCCCTACGATAAATATCTCATCTGAAAGCCGAGCCGAGTCTCAATCCAACATTCCCCCCCAAAATGGGGCGGGGCCAGTGCAATCCCGATACATAGGTAGGTTTTCCGAGGAAAATAAGCATAATAATATATATATATATATATATAAGAAAGTCACAACGTTGGAAGCCTTGCGTGTTATATATATTCAAAAGTACTTTCTCTACATGTTTTATAGTGCACGAGGGCTCTTTCTGCTTGGAAAGTGTGAATGGCCAGCTATAGCTAGGTAGGAGGGACTTGAGACATGTGCAGGTCTAGATGTGAACACCGGCTACCTACCGCGTGCTATAACCACAACATCCCAATTCTTTCTCACAACTTTCCAAACCTCACTCACTCATCTAACACTACCTCTAACAGTAACGAAAGATTCTCTTCGAGTACCACCATGCTCTAGCGACCAGCGACCAGCGACCAGCGACCAGCGACCAGCGACCGGCGACCAGCAAATCACTCAAGATGTCGCGCCCCTCCCTCTTCTCCCGCTCCTCGCGAGACAGCAGTCCCCTCCTTCGACAGCACACCGACGCCGTGTCCCTCCAAAACCTCTCTCCGCGCCCCAGCTCCCACTCCCGCCACGCCTCCCCCTCTCCTCCACCGTCCTTCTACCGCGACGACAGCCGCAGCAGCCAGAGCGAAAACCGCAGCCCCTCGCCGACCCCCTCGCGCACCTCAGGGCGTCGAATCCAGTTCGCGGGTCCGCCGCCGCCGATCGCGACGAGTGCGCTCCTCTCCGCCCAGAACACGAGCTTGCGCGCGAGCTTGGATGGTGCGGCCGTCGGCTGCAGGAGTTCGAGCCCGCGTTCGCGGCTCAGTAGGGGAGGTGGTGGTGGTTGTGGTGGTGAAGCAGGAGGAGGAGGAATCGACCCCCTGCTAGGTTTGGAGCGTAGAGAGAGGGCTATCCAGGAGGATTTACAGCTGTTGCTCGATGCGCAGTCTGCGGGCTTGGTTCAGGGGTTTGGCGGTGCTGGTGCTGGGGAGGTTTACGGAGGGGAGGGTAGCTCGGATGCAGGGAGTAGGAGTAGTACGCCCACGGCGCGGAGCTTGCAGAGGAGGTCTAGTCGCGAGCAGAGTAGGGGGGTTGTGCCTGTGAGGCAGCCTAAGGGTAGGGTGCTTGGGTTGAGAGCTGCGAGGAGGTGGTTGTTGAGGGATATGAGAGAGTTGGTCAGGGTGAAGGAGGAGCAGAGCGATGTTTTGATGTGGGAGATTGAGAGGAGGGGAGAGATTTTGGGGACGCTGGATGCTTGGGAGAGGAAGATTGAGGGGGTTAAGGGGCGGTTGAGTGAGTTAAGTAGTGGTGATGGTGAGGATGCGGTTGCGGGTGGAGGAGAGGAAGTACAGGAAATTGAAGAGCTGAAGATCGAGGAGGCGGCGGTGGAGAATGAGATTAGGGAGATGGAAGATAGGCTTGCGCAGATGAAAGCTAGGAGGCGCTGGCTGGGAGAGCGGATTAAGGAGAGAGTTAATCGGCGAGAAGCACGGTTGAGTAGCTACAGAGGAGCGCTACGGGAGGTCGAGTCGGAAGTCAGCGAGTTCTTAAGAAGGCCTCCTATACCGGTCTCTATGGTCATGGGTGACGAAGAAGGCTTTACGAGCTTACCGACGAGCAGGAGGACATTGGGGATGGCTAAAGAGTGGTGGACGAAAGAAGTATCCAAGCTGAAGCTACGTCAGGAGGAGGTCGAGAACGAGAAGTCTGCGCTGGAAGAAGGTGCTCGGATGTGGGAGGAAAGTTTCAAGGTTGTTATGACCTTTGAGGATGACCTGCGGAAACAGATGGCCAGTACCGATGCGCAAAACCTCGAGATGCTGCGGAAGCAGACAGGCACGATGGGAGAAGTCATAGAGAAACTCTCGGGTACGGTCCGAACGGCCGAGGAGAAAGGTTGGAACTTGTTGATATGTGCGGTGGGGGCTGAGCTGGAAGCTTTCAAGGAAGGGGAGCAGATTCTAAGGAGGGCGTTGGGATTGGTAGTGGGAAATGGTCAGAGGCAGGTTGATGTTGATGAAGAGAGTACGGATGGCAACTTTCGCCGTGGATTTGCGGAGTTGCAGAAGCCGTTGGCAAGGAGAGAGAGTCTGTCTAGTGAGGAGGATGGTCCGAACCTGGCCGAATTGTTGGTCGATCGAGGAGACGATGTTGTTTGACAAGTGAGCGTTCAATGATACCAGAGCATGAGACTCAATGCCGTTAGTTAGTTTGTGATGTGAAATAGTTCTACCCACAACGTCTTGTAATCAGGAAAAGAAAGGCTTTTTCTACGTTTGAAAAGCTATCGTGCAGGTTGTCGTTTGCTGGATGTCGACATGGGAGTTTGTACGGAGCTGTGACTGAATCATTAGCGTCTGGATGCATTACTCCTGTATAGTCATAGCTGTAAGATGAGGAACCTGCGGAATCCACTGATTTATGAAAGCATAATTCAATTGAATTCAATTCAATTCAATTCAATTCGTTTCGTTTCGTTTCTTATGTTTACTGTCTTGCTGGCCACCGTAGTGTACCGGTAGACAAGCCACCATCACCACCAACTAACTCCACCTGTTGCCCCCCAGCCACGAGCCGCATTCTGTTCAGACACAGCATAGGACCAGGTACTTCTGTACCTCAACTACCCGACGATGCACTTCAACTTCTCTCACTCCCGGAGCAATTCGCAACAGAACAACACCAGCGATGCCTTCGCTCCAGGCGCCATCTCGGGCATTCTGCACGCAGCGCAGAGTCTAGGGTCATTCGGGGCGCCCTCGGGGAATCTGAACGCAGCAGCATCAGGCACGGCGAACGCGGGTACCGACCGATTACTTCCCTCGAGCGGCCCTCCTTCGAGCTCAAATCTCTCTCAGACCCAATATCAACCTCAATCTCAATCTCAATCTCAATCTCAGTCTCAGTCTCAGTCTCAGTCTCAGTCTCGCCCGACCTCGTCTTCTGCATATTCTCTGCAACAAGCCAGCTTCGCAACGACTTCGACGCCCTCTGCCGGCGGGGCTGCTGGTCTGAGCCAGAGTCACGGCCAGCGCTACGAGAATCCCAGGCGTTCGCAACACGCAGACGAGCTGCACCTGAGCCCGAGTGCGAATAACATGGCTTCACAACGATCCCCGAGGGACTTCACGCCCGCAGGCCCTCGCATCAGCCTCGAGCACGCTACCCCCGACGGCCCGCAATATCAGCAGAATCCGAGCCCGGGGCAGCTTCCAGGCTCTCTTCAACCTGGCAGGCCGGGCTCGATGTCTGCGAACAACTCGAATGCAGTACCCTCTACAATGTCTCAAGAGCAGTACACGACTCCTACACGCGCGTCTGGCCTCGGCCTCTCGCACAACTACACCCGGTCAAGTCCCGCGGGTGGCTTCGACGGCCAGGGCTACGCGCCCTTCGCCCCGAATACTCCCAGCAGTGGAGACCACTTCAGCTCTCCCACGAACCAGAAATACACGCCCCAGAACAACCCAAGGACGGTCTCGAACACTCCCCTCGGTCTTGCAGATATCCGGCCTCGCGCAGATTCGGGGCTCTCAGAGGGTATTCCTGGCGCCAACCCGTACTCCTACGACGGCGCAAATGCTGTCCCGACTAACAGCAACTACCTCGCTCCGTGGGCAATATACGCTTTCGACTGGTGTAAGTGGCCTGCGCAGAACCATGACGCGGGCAAGGTGGCTGTAGGAAGCTACCTCGAGGATGGGCATAATTTCGTGGGTGCTATCTATTCCTGTTTCTGTGTCTCGACTTGACCATTGCTGACCTCAGTGCCAGATCCAAATCCTCGATTCGCAGATCACCCCAACTCCGTCCGAATCTTACGTTCCAGGGGCACCGAAATACGGGCTTGACTTTGTGAAGATAGCGGAGGCAACACATTCATATCCAGTCACGCGCCTGTTGTGGGAGCCTCCCTCTGCTCAGAAACAGTCTACTGATCTTCTTGCTACATCTGGAGATCATCTGAGATTGTGGTCATTGCCTTCAGAGACCCCAGCGGCAGCCCCGGGCAACTCCATCTCGCGACCGACTAATCATGGCCGGGACTTGCCCGCCAGCAAGCTTACGCCATTGGCACTTCTGTCCAACTCGAAGACACCTGAGCATACCGCTCCTCTTACTTCCCTCGATTGGAACACTCTCTCGCCAAGTTTAATAATTACTTCGAGTATTGACACGACATGTACGATTTGGGACATTCCAACCTTGACTGCCAAGACACAACTGATTGCACATGACAAGGAGGTATTCGATGTCAGGTTCTGCGCAAACAGTGTCGATGTATTCGTCAGTTGTGGTGCCGATGGCAGCGTGCGGATGTTTGATCTTCGGAGCCTGGAACACAGCACTATCATCTACGAACCTACTAACAAGGATGACAAAGGTATGTCAGATCAAGCTTCTGGCCTAGAGGATACTAACGTTGGTATAGACGGCAGCCCAGGAGGCAGGATAAGTCCTACCCTAGCTCAGCAGACGATGTCCTACGCACCACCTCTACTCCGTCTTGCTGCTTCGCCACATGATACCCATCTTCTCGCGACATTTTCCCAGGACTCGAGTCTCATCCGTATCCTCGATGTCCGCCAGCCAGGGCAAGCATTACTCGAGCTCCGAGGCCACGGCGCCCCGATCAACTGTATAGAGTGGTCTCCCTCTCGAAGAGGAACCCTCGCTTCGGGAGCCGACGACTCTCTGGTTCTGATCTGGGATCTCCTCAGCCAAAGCACTGCGCTGGCCCCACCAGGCCCAGCCATCACGGGTGCTCCCGCCTCAGACAACGCCCGCGGACCGACAGCCAGCTGGCAATGCGACTACGAAGTCGGCAACATCAGCTGGGCACCCCACAGTGCCCTGAGTAACGATGGTGGGGACTGGCTTGGTGTAAGCGGCGGTCGTGGGATCTGGGGGGTGAAGCTATAAGGGACGAGAGACAGGTCGGACTCGGTTATGGAAATAAGCGAGCTTATGTTCGCATGTTTGAGCCAGGCGTTTCGGGTACGGATGTTGATAATATCCAGGCATTGGGGGGTTTCCGGGGTTTTTTCCTCCTACAGCTCTATCTCTGTGCGGTGTGTGTGTGTGTGTGCGTGCGTATACCACTAGGCCCAAAAAACAAATGGTCTTGTTCACGAAAGAGAGAGCAATGAAGAGACGAGCAGTAGGCTTTACGAGCTTGGCGGGAGCGGGAGCAAAAGGAAAAGGACCTTGAGGAGCCATTGAACGGGACGGGAACGGGGACGAGGACTGGGACTGGGACTGGAGTTAGCCATTTTGTACTTTTTGCACCGGTACACCAGGTACCGGTACCTACTACCTACCTACCTACCACCTAACTAAGCTAGCTAAACCTAACTAACTCACTAACTACATCGGCGCTTGGAATTGCTCGAAATGAAAAAAGGCATGGCTCAAATAAAAACAAGCTCTCTTTCTCCTTTTTTTTTTTTTTTTTTCTACTTAACTTTTTCC